ATTTACAAGATGAGTATTATCGCCGCCTAAATTGTAGCGCAAATCCATATATAATAAATTCACTCGCTTTCAAATTGAGTAGGCAGAATTTAATTAATATGAATAAACAATAAAACTTGAGTTCAACATAAAATTAATCTTGCTGACATTTAACGGTAGAGTGTTTTGCGACAATTTAACGGTAAGGGAAAAAAATTCGTGCGACATTTTAACGTTAACATTGGACATTTAACGTGACAAATTGGTTTTTTGCGACATTTAGCGGCGGTTGGCGAAATTAAGCGTCGATGGTGCGACATTTAAATAGCGGCAAGTGCGACATTTAGCGGCGTTGCGACATATAACGGCGCCACAACAAGTCTTTTTTATAAAACAGTTTTAGCCGCCTGTCGACTTAGACTTGAGATACCGTTTCTCTGCTACAATTTGTTGTATGGTACATATTCTTCTAGCTGACCACTGTCATCCACTGGTAGGAATCTGTGCTAACTCTGCAAAAAATGTCATCTTCCTTGAGATAAGTCCAATGCATGTCAGCATTTGTGGAAGAAACATCAGATGAATTCACTTCTTTAACTACTCTATGTCGAATTTCCAAATTGGAAGATATTCTATAATATGCCGATTAGACTCTTTAAATGTTTCATATATCTCTGCACACTCTAGCTGTTCATTGGTATGGCATTTGTTGAAGAACTGAAAACTAAAATACTATCATTATCATCATCGTCCATCATCATTGAATAGTAATTATTATCATTTTCTGAAAAGCAGCAGCAATAAGCGGCAGCATTGTATTTATTAAATTAATATCGTATATTACAAGTGAGGTCACCCGAGTTTGACAGCAAAAAAAATATGAAAGATTTTATAGCCAGTATTGCCCAAAAGATAAATCAGATGATTAACCTAACTAATCAAGGCGGACATTTAAACCAAAGCTTATTAACATATTATTGTTTTTCAATGAAGTCTTAAGACCGGTAAACTAATAAACCAATATGACAAGTTTAGATCAAGTTGTGTTCACAATGCATAAACATTTTTATCCTTATAAAATTAAAATCATTCACCTCACAATCCTTGCTCCCGACATTGATCGTTTTCTTCATCAGCGTATGTGTATATGCTCTGGTTCTGAATTTATTTGCAGAAAATGACATTTGTTTACCTACTACACCCCGTACACTCGCTAACACTTTTTCAATCTACACCCCGTACACATCCGTGCTAGACTCTGTACACAAGACAATGCCGTTTTTCGCAAATTTTGTTAAAAGCAGCTCGGGTTGAAGGGTGAAAACTCAAATATAAGTAGAGGAATGACTATAGTTTGTATCAACGGCGAAATTGATACAGCAAATGCGTTTTGGGCTTGATTTAGTGGTAAATATCAACATTGTTCGCAATTGTCAACAAATACGCTACAATTTATCACCAATTTAACAAAAAGTATTGAATTTGCAGAGAAAAGCAAACACTGCTTTAAAACTAGACATATTTAGCTTCACAATATTGTTTAGTTTGGAAAAATCGATGAAGTTATGATGAAGAAATAAGTTAAAACATTACCTTGGGTGTACTCGGTGTGCAGCTTTCTACTTTCGTTTTCGGTGTTTTTTGGGGCTATATCCGGTGGACGCTGTACAACAGTGATACAAGTAGTCCCTAACCAGTGTTTATTGGCAGTTTAACACCGGTTTTTTTCCTTCTTTGTCTATAGTGACAAAATCACGTGGAGTGATAGAATAATTGATATTTTATTTATATTTTTTATTTAGATATTTTTATTCATGTAAATATTTATTTTTACTGATATTTGTTACTTATTTTTTTATTTGTTTTGTCAGTTAACAAGTGAAGGACAATAAAACTTGCACAGAGCGGTGCTCTGATGAGCAATTACTTCTTTACATCAGTTTCAAATCTTCTGAAAGTAAGACTTCAGAATTTGGCCTCTCTTGAGCGAGCGAGACCTAATGTGTTTTCTTTTCCAAAATACCATTTTGGTTTGCTACCTTAAAGACATTTTTTAAAAATTATTTTGCAATCAATGCCTATATGAGGCTTAATGTTCCATTAAAGAAAGCGTGTACACAGGTGTAGTGGGAATACATATCATTACATTTTAACTTAAAGTATTTATACATGTAAATTGTCAACACATTTGGTATCTTTTAAAAAGCATTCAGCTGGCAATATTTTGTTTTTCTATAGTTTCAGTAAACATATCTTTATACATTATTTCATGACATTCTTGTTGTAAGGGTTTTTTGTATGCAATAGAGGGTTATTCAATATTTTTTACATTAAATACTTAATATAAGAGCTCAATTTTGAATGCATTTAATATGCCCCTGATAATCGCATAAAGCCGAGTCAGAGGTGGTTTTTTACTCGGCAACAAAAAAAAAAACGATTATTGTATAAGTGTGCAAAACAAATATTTGACCCCCCCCCCCCCAAAAAAAAAACAAAGAAAAAACAACAACAACAAACGACAGCAAACAAACACACAAACAGACAAAAAACTACTGTAACAACATTAACGCAGTATATTTACATACAACTATCAATATAATTTCCACTTGTTATATATAATCTTTATTAAAGTCTCATCAAATTTTAAAACATAAACTCATAAAATTGCCTGTATGGTCATTCTGATAAGAATTATTTTATAAGAGACTGATGCATAGTTATAGGGGAGACAACTTCTCAGCCCATATTGCAAATACTTCCAATATGTCAATCTCCACGCAGTGATCTCCCCTTAATTCTTCGGCACCAAAGGTCCGATATATCAGAATTTCTGATATACTATATTTTTTTCAAAAATTGTTTTATCTACTGCTTTTATCTATCAGATAAGTTTTTTTTCCATTTATTTAACAATGTTTATGAATGAATAAATAAATAATATGAATATTTCGAAATAATTTTAAAAATTATGAGAATATTTTCTACCGAGACAATATTTTTAGCTTTTGAATTTATTTTTCGTTATTTTGTATACTTTTGATAATTTTTTGATAAACTATATCGAACATAGGCACTAAATGTTAAAAATAAAACAGAAAGAGAAAAATGACGTTAGATTTTCTATGTAACGGTCGATATTTACTTTTGAATTCCGACGTTACGTCATGTGACTTTCATCATCATGTGACGTCTTTGAAGGCAGTGATTACAATTCTGCCAAGGGAGGTAATCACTGTGAGGAGTTTGCCTATATGTACTGAAGAGTTACCTCTCTTTTCATGCTGATTTAACTTGTATTTGATACATTATCTAAATATTATTTGGTACTCATCATTACAACGCATAGATGAGTTCCTTTGTACTAGCGTTTTTAATACAAAACCGGTTTATGTACATTCATTGTTCGCTCGAATGATTCGAGCAGTATTAAATCGGGGTTTTCATATTCGAAAATCAGTTTCTAGCGAGCAACTCTTAGGGACACTCACACATTCAAATTCAATGCCAAAATTATTAAGTGGTAAGTACAATTTTAAAAGTGTAAAAGTTTTGCCTTAATAAAATGTATTGTTTAAATTTTAACGCAAACCTAGTGTAGACATTTTACATCGTTTTGTATAAATATTAAATGTTTTGCAAGGATGAGCCCCAACATTCTGTGGTATTTGACAGTCACTTTCCTGTGATGGCACATGGGCACAGGTTTCCAAAAATATGTTCCTTTAAATAACACTGAAATCAATTAAAAAACTTTAAAAGGGATTTTTGTTTTTGGTTTTTCCTGGACGAGTCGACCACGATTTGCATAACATTTATATGACAGAGATTAAATTTATTAACCAATTACAATATTTATTGCTTTATGCTATATTTGCACGTTTATTATGTCATCTTGTATACTGTCCCTAAATACAAGCGTTCTCGCATATTGCATTCGAGTATTTTAGTTGTTATTTGTAGAAGTTTTGTAGGAAATAAGATGGTACCAACAGTTAAAAGCTAAAATAACCTTGCTAAGCTGTTAATCTACATAAAAGTCTTATAAAACCTTGACAACTCAATACTATGACAAAATGTACTGTTATCTGAAAGATAGTATAAAATATGGGTCTAACTTTAATCAGATTAAACTAAAAGTAATTAACAAAGGTACTTTAGTGTGCTATGAAAGTTAGTTATTTAGAACATAAAAAAAGTTATTGTAATTTACACATATCGTATTTTACATAAAGGTCAAGGATGAAGTAAATATTGTCTAACAAACGTGCATTGTTATTACTATTTGACAGTGATCGGGAATAAACACAATTATACTGAAAAAATATTTTAAATCATTTTCAAATATAAAGTTATGTCGGGATACCAATGTGCTTTATTTGACATATGTTATCTTAGTTATAGACACATATGTCAATGAGTTCATAACAGCAAAAATAACAGCTATAAATAATGGTGATCACGTGACATTGAACTTTTTTATTCTTTCTGTCGCACACTCCATTATTTTCTTTTTGTTTCAGAAAAAAAAAATACTGCCTAATTAAAATAACATAATCATGTACAATTACTTCCAAAAGGCCTTTTTATATCAAACGTGACAAACAGGTGGGAAAAAACCAAATCTATTACCACAGCACCAGCTTAAAGCTTTTACAACAACAACAACAAAACAAACACTTAAAATTTGAATTTCTCACGTAGATCAGTTGGGGACACACGGGACAGAATATTAAACCAAGGGACACATAAAACAGAGATAATTAAGACCTATATAGTAAATATCAAATCGTATTTTTGTGCTAATTTTAGCCCTGTTTGAGTGACCTTTCAATTTTGTGTCAATTTTCACAATTCTGGAAAAAATGGAGTCAGTAAATGATGTAAAATTTTACATACAAGTTATTGGTCTAAACCTACATCAAATAGAACATTAATCTTGAACAATTATTTCGAGCCCTGTCATCTGAAAACAAACATTAGTGGTGTCCCTTTAACTTAAGAATGTAATAAATACTTACATGTGCCGTAAACAATTTCCTTTGGTCATTGGCTACCTTAAACGCGACCGCAGCAACACCACAAGTTGTCACACTAAAATGAATTGGTGAAGCACCAATCACATTCAACGTTTTGGAATAAATCTCCCCTGTTGTCCGGTTTGGTGTTGAATGAAAATTGACAACTGAAGTTAAAAAATAAATAAATTTTATGGATGCGAAATTTAATGATTCTCATTTCTTAAGCTGTCCACTCAGACTTACTTAAGTTTCATATGTGACTTGGTTAAAGCCATGACTAAACGTTCTATTTATCAAAGCGGTTTTGAAAAAAGTCATTGTGAGCGAGTGAGTGAGTGAATGAGTGAGTTAGAGTGAGTGAGTGAGTGAGTGAGTGAGTGAGTGAGTGAGTAAGTGAGTGAGTGAGTGAGTGATTAGTTGAGTGAGTGAGTGAGTTGGTGAGTGAGTGAGTGAGTGAGTGAGTGAGTGAGTGAGTTGGTGAGTGAGTGAGTGAGTGAGTGATTAGTTGAGTGAGTGAGTGAGTGAGTGATTAGTTGAGTGAGTGAGTTGGTGAGTGAGTTGGTGAGTGAGTGAGTGAGTGAGTGAGTGTGTGAGTGAGTGAGTGAGTGAGTGAGTGAGTGAGTGAGTGAGTGAGTGAGTGAGTGAGTGAGTGAGTGAGTGAGTGAGTGAGTGAGTGAGTGAGTGAGTGAGTGAGTGAGTGAGTGAGTGAGTGAGTGAGTGAGTGAGTGAGTGAGTGAGTGAGTGAGTGAGTGAGTGAGTGAGTGAGTGAGTGAGTGAGTGAGTGAGTGAGTGAGTGAGTGAGTGAGTGAGTGAGTGAGTGAGTGAGTGAGTGAGTGAGTGAGTGAGTGAGTGAGTGAGTGAGTGAGTGAGTGAAGTTTGTGAGTGAGTGAGTGAGTGAGTGTATTTGCTGAGTACAGTTGCTGTGTGTATTGTATAAACATAATAATACAAAAATCTAGAATCTTTTTACATCGGCCGGCAATAAAAAAAGGATAGATTCATACAACCTATAAACAATAACGCTTACATAAATCGTCCTTTGTACAGTTGTCCTCATCCACTCTACCATCACAGTCATTATCCACTCCGTCTCCTGGCATCGGACGAGTTCGAAAACATTCCTGAAAACACACATACACACATTTATTTGAAACGTTACCGTTGAAAACATCATAAGGCTTATATTACTTTAATAGTGCCTGAAGTATTACAAGGAAGGCCACCTAAGGTCTATCTCCACGAGTCAAGCTGAAAAAATATGATCTTTACAGTGTTGTGCGATGTAAAAGCCAACCAAAGAAAGCAATAAAAACATATAAGTTTAACTATAAATTTCTTTATTCTTAATTCTAGTAAACACTTTTCGATGTCAGTGCCAACTTCTCGATACTCATTTAGTATAAATGCATGTATGTATAATATTTATTTTTTTACAGATATGCGTTTATAAGTATATTTAATGATACTATAAGTGAGCTATCAAAGACTAGATAACGACACACAAAAACAACACGCATCATTTAAGCATGCAGAAGATTAAAACATTATTTGTCCCGGTATCCTATGTCAACATATAATTTACAAACAGTATTTTGTGACCCGGCAATTTTGCTGCAATTATTATGCTTCTTTACCTTCATTTTATAAAAAAAGATATATAGCAAAATATACAACGGGTCTTACCCATGTTGGAAAAAAAGAAAAGTTTACTATGTTCAGGATGAAAACAATGACTCCCCCGCAATCGAAACGGGTTTTATTCAAAACAAGATTTCTACTCTTAATGGTGGCTGATTTACGCCATCTCGCGTTTTCTCTCCTTTGCCTCCAAAATGCGAAATGCGAAAACACGAATGAACTTTGTCGGCTTTTTGTCTTTTCGCATTTTCGGATTTTCGAAGCGAAAAAGCAAAAATACGACAGAAGAAGGGCGACAATACGACACGTAAAGTCTGTCGTCTATTTGCATTTCATACGTCGTGTTTTCTGTTTTTCTCGTTCAAATACTAAAATACAAATACACATTCCGCGTTGTAAAATAAAAAGCAAAAATACCACAGATTATGGAATGCGAATATATACGACAGATTTTAAGTGTCTCATTTTCGCCCTTTTCTGTCGTATTTTCGCTATTTTGCATTGCAAACCCAAAACAAAAGCGGAAACACGAAGAGAGGACAGAGTCCAGCTTTGTCGCCCCTTCGTGTTTTCGCATTTAGAGGCAAAGAAGCGAAAATACGACATGGCGTAAATTAGCCGTCATAGCAGTTCCATATTGTACCATTATACGAAGAAAATAAAAATGTATTACCTCATTGGTCCATGACCAATTCGCTGCTAAAAGGACTGCCGACATTCCTTTACAATAGCCATAAACACTACGGTTAAATCCACGTACTGACGTTTTCCTTTCAGTCATGCCTACCTTGGGTTTATATTTTACCACAAAATATTCGCTACCATCAATTCGTGTTCGTGGGATATCAAACATACCGGTATTATTCGGATCCCAGGTAACTGTGGGCAAATCTGCAACTGCAACTGTAACTGCAGTTAAAATGCTATCGTTATTTGCGTTTATAAAACAATCGGACATAACTTCTTTGTCGGTCCATTGCTTAACATGGGGTACAAGCACCATGGCAGGTTTTCCTTTTACTATGGACGTGTCGTTATAGATGTCAAGAGACATAATCTGTACAACAAGGATTGGCTTTGTTGAGACGATAGTACTGTGCATTTCCCAGTCAATCCTTAGCTCAACATACCCTCCCGCGTTAGAAATTGTGAATGGGGAATATCTGAGGATGTGAATTGTTGTATCTGGGCTTTGGGTTATAATCTTTATGACGTCACCTGCGTCATTGAGGGCATTTGGAGCTACAACAAACTCAGTACCCCATTTGTTAACAGGTGGAATTTGCTCAATCATGCAAGCATCACCTGGACCATCTCGTGCTCCAATAAACACTGCTATTACGTTATCAGATGTTATGTAAGTGCCTGATAGATCAACTTGACTTTCATTGCTTTCAATATGCAATACCTCGTTTTCGTTTAGTTGAAACGAAACTGGGTCCCCAGTGGTAATACTTTGTCCATTGCAAGTGACAGACTCTGATGGGATATGCTCGGGAAAGACAATCTGAAGCGATGTGCTGTCGGTAGTACCTGCCACAGCAATCTGACAGTGACCACCTAACGAACAATAAGTAGGAACATAGTATTCTGTACCAAGATGCTCGTCTGGAATAGCAAGATACCCATCGGAAGGATAACCTTTTGAATCGGCTTGATACACGTGCAGAGTAAATTCTTCGGAAGATTCAACCTTGACACCGGTCGATAAATGCTGAAAACCATAAGGAATAAGATCCCTACATTCCGGTGATGACGCTTTTATCATTTTACCGTCATGTGTCCATGTACAATTCACTTCGTCAACTACATTTGGTTTCTCTGATAAATCCTGATACTGTAAAAACCCATATATTCCATTTTCAATTGGTGCTGAAAAATTTCTTCCAAGGAACGCTGTGTGGTAGACCATACATTCTGCAAATAATTGTAAACTTTTTACATTTTTAATTAAAAAAAATCGACACGATTTTGTTTGTTATTGCTTGCCTGTTTGTCTGTCTGTCTGTCTGTCTGTCTGTCTGTCTGTCTGTCTGTCTGTAAGCCTGCCTGTCTGTAAATTATTGTCTGATGTCTGTTAAAAAAAATAAAAAAAAATCAAGTTAACATGCAGGAGTTGGTTAAAATATCTGGCGGAAGATTATCGCATACCTGCAAAATGCCCCTTATCTTACCGGTTTTTGTTTTTGTTTTTGTAAACATCCTGTCGACCTGTAGATAAAATATGGTTTTATTCTAAGAAATCGTTAGAACACCAAAACATAATGAAGCGAACCAAAGATTGACGTTAGTACTTGATATATTTAATGAAAAAACTATTAAAGTTTTACTTTCTAGTTTAGTACTGAAAACGGGATAAAGTTGTTTTTCCCCCTTATATGCTCCCACTAGGACTTCCAAACTTTGTCCCGTTTCCAGGCTTCAAAACATACAAGACTGGTGTAAAAAATAACATTACCTGTTAGGTGGAGAACTGTCGCTAACAAGAACAAGGGTGTCATCACCAGGTCGTTCATTTTCTACAATATAGATATTTTTTATTATTGTCAACATACGTATGGAGTAAATCTTATAGGTTTCAATTTCTGTTTTATAAGGTAATTTAAACTAATTTTACTGTAATGCTTTTCCGTCAAATAGTTTCTAACATTGGCCAATATCGTAATAAATTGATCATTTCCGGAACGTTATTTTTCAATAATTTTAACCGTTTATAACCGGATTTTTTACATAGCGATAAAAGGATAAGTAATTGTAAATAATTAAATGTCGAATATTTCGAAAAAGAAACGTTCTTGAAATAACCAATTTGCTATGACACTGGCCATTGTTAGAATTTTTTTGGCGGGTAGGCAAACAGTAAAACTACCTTAAGCCGGTGCTATGGAAGCGTGGACAGTATATCCGTGTACTTTTCAGTATTGTCAATGTACAGGCTCAATTCAACAGAGCCTTCATTTTTAATTTTGATGGGACTCCACTGAGGTTTAAATGCCTAAAATCAAAACATATGAATTTCTTACATAAATGAGCTGGGGCACTTTAAACAGAAATATATGCAAAGATAGTTCAGAAATATACTTTGAAATAAATTCAAAATCATATTTTTAGGCTTTTCTTAGCCCGATTTGAGTGAAAAGCGTTTAAACGCTTTTCTTTTTGGGTCATTTTTTACATTTTAAATTACGATTCTTATAAAATGAAGTGTGCAAATGATCTGAAATTTTGCACAAAGATTAGTGATTTAAACCTTCATCAAATGGTACATTTATCTGGAAAAAATATTTTCAGTCCCATCATGTCAAAAAAAAACTCAGTGGAGTCCCTTTAAAGTATTTCTATAGGGATTTTTTTTTCTCTATTTTAGGCGACAGTTCCATTAATGCCCCGATTCGCTTTCCCATTTCTTCTAAGTTTGGTATTCTCTCATTATTTAAATCACCAGTATTTATAAACATTTATATCATAATACACAGACAACAAATCTAAACATTTTAACTATCCTTCTCTTAAGCGTATATAAATAGGTACAGCGTTGGGCTGCATGTAAATTGGGCGACCGGGTTCAATTCCCGGACGGCGCAGGTCACTATCGTTGTGATTGATCACGAAATCCTTTCTACGGTCATTCACACTGTACCTCTGCTCTGGCATGTACAAAAGTTATCAGGCCCTTGCAAAGTGAAGGCAACTAATACTGGTAAACTGCTTGACAGCCTGCCAAGGAACGATGCGGTGGCTGAACTGTGCTCTGGTTAATTCAATGTGACTTACTGGATTGAAGCGGGTTGAACACCACCACTACCAAAATGTAGCCAAAAGGCAGGCTAAACTTGACAAACGCATCGATGTTCATATAACATTACTTAATGGTAAATTGCAGTAGTCTACACAAGCATTGATGTTTAATGTCTTTTTGTAAACTAACCAGTGTGCCTTCCTTATGTTAAATAAGATTTTTTTTCTACATCCAACTTTATAAAATAAAAACAACTTTATTATCGATTATGAATCTATATTCAATTTTTCTTCACAAGATGTTAATTCCTTTTTACAATTAGATCACGAATATATACTTTGAATTGTTTCTTAATATTAATTCAGTTTCAGAATTTTCAGTTAAGATTTTTTCCCTTCCCTATCCCTGTAAGCATTGATATTTACTCAAACTTACCCATTGGTGGGTTCCCGAGGGACGGATATTCCGATCCGAACCGCAAACATATGTCAGATATTTTTTCTTGCATATTCTGCCATATTATTTCATATTTAAAATTGTTTCCCTCAATATGATATATGTTCATGGAAATCAAAGTCATTTCATCCCTAACTATTTTCTTACAATAGCGTATGAACTTACAACTTAAATAACAAGGGCGAAATGACGTCATCCTATTCTAAAACGACGTCATTTTAACGCGGTTCATTTATAAAGTGCGCTAAATTGTCGTTGTTGTTTGGCACGCGACTCATCTGGCACCCCCGTGCCACACGGGTAAAACCCGTGGAAACGCCAGTCTGCTATGCTTTTACTGCTGCTTTCCCTCTTTTTTTTCTTTTTTTTTTTGCTGTCATATTTCGTTGTCATTTTTTTACACAATAAACGGGAATAGGGGAATATAGAATTTGTAACGAGCTCTTATTCATAATAAAATAGATTTATTACTGACAATGTCGTTGAATTCATGTTTTGTATTAATAAATTTGATTCCCGCCTAAAAGTGGCGCGTACTGTTTTGCATATAATCAACCAGTATTTGGTTTTTGTTGTAGCCATAAAATATTCACAACCCGTGGTCGGAAACGTGAGGTTCTGTTCCCGTAAATCAAAGATGTATTTGAAAACCTATGAAATAAATATTTCAAACTTGAAATAGTACAGTTTGTTAATGAAACCCATTTTAATTGATTTTCAACAGCTTTTTAATTTTTCCATATATTCCGGATGGACCATAAATCATCGTATTTAATTGTTTATTTGCGCTCGTAGCAACGGGTGTTGGACCACATAAACTTCGTGCGGCTCACCAAAATGTGCATCGGTTAAAGGGATATGCTGGTTTCCGGTAAACGTATGTTGGTTTAACGTCCATATGAGGACGATATTGACGCTGAAATAACGCTCTTTTCTCCGTACCACTTCATTCTCTGAATTAAAAGGATCCAAAATGAACAATATACATTTTTAACGATTCTATTGATAAAATATCGATGCGGGAAATTTGTTCATACAATCAAAAAATCTTGACCTATAATTATGAACAACTTACACGTAATTTGTATTTGGCGACGAAGAGATGTTCAGTATTATGGCATATTTTTATTTTTTATATGGAACACATATCCACATATGGATCACAATTTGAATTATGGCCATAATAATCTTCTATAAAGAGCTTACTAAGGCAGGGTCTGTGTGTATGTTTTACACCTTTACGGTTCCTGTCATTTTCTACATCGGTATGTAAGATTTTGACACACATAGACTATTTAATATACGGAAACAAAAACCTTACCTAAAAAGACTTCACCGAATGACAAACTTTCGAGAATCTATAGAAGGCATTTCGCATTTTTTAAATGATAGTTCCTTTAACAACATTAATTCAAAATTGTAAAACTTACGGCTTAATTTCCGGAAATTGAGACCTTCATACGATCACCGGAAACCAACATATCTTTCTAACCGATGCACATTTCGATGATCCATATTAAGATCGGGCCTAGCAACTGTCGTAAATATGTAAGTTTTAATAAATATAGCAAAATGTGCACGAAAAACGCTTTGATTGTTATTGGTATTACGTTTTGAAATACTTCGCACTAAATATTGCCTAATGGTAAATCGAGTATCTCGTATTGTTTTTAGTTATAATTTCTCAAAATGTCTCATTAGCATTTTGTTGTTTAGACATTAATTTTGTACTCATCATTTACGTTGGTTCAACCTATATGGTACCGAGGCTTAACACGTTGTTCATTCAAATTTCGCTTTAGGTGTTATGGCCAGATATATTCAAAGATATAATATTACAGATAAAAACGTGTTTGACATTCTACGTAATAGAAAGAGTATCAAAACACGAGGCTATTAGATTTGCGGGTAATAAATCATAGCCGAGTGTTTTTATGTTCTTTCTCTTATGTATCATAGGCAAAAATAACAACCCGTTCCCCGTTGTCACCATATGAAACCCCAGAAAAACAATAGCCTATGAACGAGCATCTGGATATGACATTTATATATCGCTATCCCCTTCTCAGCCGCCAAATTAGTAAATCAAAGAAAAAAATGAGCCAATTAATGGGCATGCTCTGGAGTGCGGGTAACTAATACCTGCATCCCAGTTAACTCAGTGTGCTTAATTCTGACAAATTTTGAACAGAAATGTCCCCAAACCATGATACAACTACTTGAAAGTGTTTACACATTTTCAACCGTACAACTTACAGCACGGTGATTACTATTAAGAATATTATAGGTTGGCGTCTGTTTATTTGAAACGTATGCATGCAAGCGCAATATAAATAAAACATATTAATTATTGAATATTGAACATAATATTCCATAAATCATCTTATGTTTGCTGTGAAATCTATGTTTTGATCTCCAAACCATTGTATATGTTTCAATTTAGACTTGTTATAAGCATTGTGCTATGCTGGATGCAAATAAATTATTCGTATTCGTATATGACGGTTATTGTTTAACGATATACGAAAAAATTCATTGGAAAAAAAACAACATTAAAGCGGGAACAAGATGGTGTTGTATCAAGGGAGCTACTTGTTGTAAAATTATTTTTGACATAGATTTACATTTCGTAAAAAGAGATATGTCGAACCAACTAATTGATACGTGTGTGTATGTTTTTATTTATCTCGTGCGCACGAAATTGTATCGTAAAAGAATAATCGTATAAGGTCGTGCGCATGATAAAGAAACTCGTACTCAAGACATTGAAACTCGTGGGCATGACTAAATAAACTCGTGCGCACGACTTAGTATGTCGTGCTCGTGACATAGTAATTCGTTCTCACGGCATAGTAAAAAGCAAATCCAAACTTTGGCGAGCTTTAAAGGTTAAAAATATCAGTGTATCATATTTTGACCTTCATTACATTCAAGGGAAAACAATTCACTAAATTCACAACAGAAAAATGGATATAAGCTCATCTATATCATGTATAAGCGACTATATGGTGATATATTACTGAAACAATAATTACGAAATTAAATATCAGGTCAGTAATTTGAAGTTAATTAATTGCCTTGTAATATACTTCTTTTTACCTTCTATTATTATCTATATAGATTTATCTTAACTGATTCACTAATTAGATTTAAGAATGTCAAGTTTGACTTGTGAATGCAATAGCGTTCGGTATCATTACATTTTTAATGTTGATTATACAAATGTATCGTAATTTGTATCGTAGTTCGATACTGTTTGGAGCTATAAGCTTATTGAAACTCTCTTGAACCCCTTCTTGGAACCAACTAGTACTAAGCAATGAATGTAAAGTTTCAAGAAAACAATAATAATTTATTTACTTTGAATATCCCTTTTACTCATTTCAGGATAAGCTTAAGCAAATTTTTCCCATGATTAAAAATAGAGAAAAAAGATATATTTAATGTTAATAGAGATTATTCGATGAATGTACATAACAACGCTAATGAAAAATATATACATATATAATTCAATATGATTTAATAACTAACCTTTGTTGTGAACGTGTCAAAATTCTTGTTGATTACAACGGTCTTTAGTTCGACTCCGCCATTCTCAACGTCCCGTTTCCAACTACATGCAATATCATAACACACCCAAATATCAAATTGATTGGCAAAGTCATTTAATTAAATATGCACCATATTGTGTCTCCAAATCAGTGATCCGCAACTGTCTATATATGATAACAGTTTCCGCCGATGTGTATCGATTTCTGAAGGTAAAGTCATTTTGTTGAATAGTTTCCATAGAATATTTAATGAAACATGGCAAAATATGAAACAATAAACGCTGAAACTCTATAAAAAATTCATGTATGTAAATTTTGCCCACATAGCAAACAATTATTTGTTGGGAGAAAAAGGAAACGTTGAGAGAAAAAGGAAGACATGGTTTTTAGTTGCAAAACCGGTTTTCTGATTTGAATATATGACTTATTTTAAATGCATTTCGATTTTTGAAATATTGAACCAGAAATATAAATAATATAAATGCATCATTTGAATACAGAGAACAGAGGAGAATACCGGTATCAGATGCAAAGCTTCGGATATTTCTTATCTCATATTTGCTTAAAGGCACATTATGTCTCAGAAATGCTGTCGTTATTTTTTATTTCTCAAAAACTTTTTTTTTTATTTTTGGTATCTTTTTACAGTTTCGGTATCTTTTGTCATATACATAGATAAGTCTATCTTTTACAGATTTTGTTATGTTGGCAGTATATATAATAATAGTGAATAAGTATTTTGTACGGAAGTCAAACTACTACTTTGTTTACATTTTGCTACCTTTACGACACATTACTGCACATTCAGAGCTACTTTCTAAGTAGATAAACATATGACATGCTCTTAATCCATTATCAAAACATTATTGAACTATGTTTAACTTTTCTAAAAAAAATAAGAAGTATGGATTTCTGAGAAATAATGTGCCTTAAATTATACATGTACTCGCTGCCAATAAGAGACCAATATTTAACATTGTTGTATATAAGAATTCATTTAACATTATTCAAATAATATGATTAAATACTGGATTAAAATCTTAAAACAAAAGCATACTGTTCTTGTTAAATAAGGTATTTAATATTAAAAATAGATGCAATAATAATCAAAGCACAGAAGGCGCTGAATTTGTTTGGGTAAGGTGAAGGGTGTGAGATTATAAACCAAGGCTAATTGCAACACTGATATTGAATTCAATGTTTATTTGGCTCGAACAATATAAAAGAAAAAAAGAAGAGGGTTGCCTTATCTGGGATTCAAACCCTAGACCTCTCGCTTCTAAAGCCTGGACCACGGGGAAGTAATAAGATATCAACCTGAAGCAAACATATTATTCTAAATTCGGGTTTGTTGTCATTATTTTCGAAATATTTTGTTCACGGTATACCTGTTGTTTCACACTGATGTAAATAATCATGTCCTATCCTAGAGTCAACATCCTTACTTTATTTTTCAGAAAGTCTAGATAACAAATATTAATTTTGGCGATCACAAAAAATCCGAAGCTTTACGGAAATAGCCGAGCAATTTTCATTTATTAAAATGATATTCATCCGCAAACAAAATTATTTGAATCTATTACCGGTAATTCGACCATTGACAGTCTCTATATGAACTACGTAAATAACCGAGGTATATCGAGTGAAAAAGTACGAGTTGTTTCCCTTATCTTCGAGTAAAATGCTAAAACAATGCAAATTTAACCGTTTTTACACCGCTAGTTTGGGCGATTTAATGTCCGATTTTAAAATTTATTACACCAATGAAAAGTTTGTGATCCTAGCTTCGTCTCAATATTTAAAATTTCAACACATTGTTTGACACTAAATGTATTTAAATTTACGGTTGAACCTACCACAAGTAAGTCAATTTTTACACACATTTTATACAGTGAGATACGCAAACGCTTTTCTTTACTCGCAATTCTACTGATAAGTATAGGCTGTCGTCTGCTAGTTCGGAAACTGTCAATCAATGTTTTTGCTGAAATGTTAACGAATTACACAATATTAGAAAGCTTCCATCAATCGGGAACTATTTTTTCTTCCCTAAGAGGTTTGAAAATTAAAGCGCCTGTCATTTGACAATCTTTTCGCAGTGATCTGCCCTTAATTTTTCGGCGTTAGTGTACATTTAAGTGGAAGTAACCGCTTCCCATAATTCGTGATGGACTACTTTCGGGGTTTTTTTACAAAGCATATCAGGGTCTGAAATTTCGCTACCATTATTTGTTTGGTCTGACGACCCAAACAAATAATAAAAAAATCAGTATGGATAGGTGAAGACCTTTTAAGGTAAATATTGCTTTGCAGCTCTAGCAGAGATTTTGTCCTTTTACCAAATTAAGATAACTTCCTCGTTTACTTGAGTTTACTTGAGTGCTACCTTTTCAGTATAAACTGCCAAACTGACACCATTCTTTTGATACACAGTATTTTACAATTTGGGAATAGTAGGGCTAAAAAATAACATTTTTGTATGAGTCACGTATATATCACTAATATACGTAATACTTTATATGAGACCAATTTGATTTCTTTTTTTACACAAATCCCTTTTTTAATTGTCATAATAATTATGGGTTTTACATTAATTTCAGTGAGAAATTAGTGATCAAATGGTTGCACAATGGTGAGGAAGTGTGATCTAACAGTCCTAATATCACGTTGAAAGCTGTAGCGTTACCTAATGCGCAGCAAGACGATTCGGTGGAATACCGCTGTGAGGCCTATCTTGGAACTAAAACTGCATTTGAGACTGTCAACCTCAAAATTGTCTGTAAGTGTTTTCTTTTATTTGAAAGCTTCAAATATAAATTGAACGCTTTTTACAAAAAAATACACATTTCAGAACATTAAAGGCCCATTATGACTCAGAAATGCTTTTACTTTTATTTCTTAAAATCGTTATAGCTTTGTCGTCCTGTTATACATTGTATTTTCCAAAACGTTAACCATAAGCAAAATTATCTGAACTATATTTTGCTTCTTATGCTTTTTGGCTATTGGTAAAGATATTGACTTAGTATTTTGTTCGAGGTAAAAATACTACTTTGTTTACAGTTTGCTAATTTTATGTTAAATAATAGGGATATAACGGTTAGAAAAAATGCTAACTGTTTAAACGACCATGTACTAATCGTGTTAAACGTTTAAACGGCCGTACCAATACAGTCTTTAAATTTTCATCCCTACGACAAGATATGCCATTTGTTCGCATTTTTGTTGTACAATACATATCCGAATATGGAGTAAGTATTTTCCACTAGGATCTAACCGTATTGATCAGATTGGAAAAATACGTTGTTTGGTACATCTAAAATACAAACAATTGTCATATCTTGTCACAAAAAAACAAGGTTATATTAAGAATCAGAGCATAACTCATAAAGCCTTTGAGATATCAACATGAAAGTTCATAGACGGAAAGATCTTACTCGGGAGGTATGGAATGCACAAGAATAATAACTCTATCCTTCATATTTTTTCAGTTATTGCCCTTTGTTATTTTTCTTCTGATTGGAGCATAACTCAAAAAGTCTTTGAGATGTCAACATGAAACTTCATAGGTGGATAGATCTTATTTAGGAAGAATGCTGTACTCATCATTTTATAATTTTTGAGTTATTGCCCTTTGTTATTTTTCATTCTTTTTGTCCGGAGCTTATCTCAAAATGTAGTTGCGGTATCAAACTGGAAACTTCATAAGTGGATAGATTATATTGAGGAGGAGTGCAACCCAAAAGAAGGATAACTCTACCATGCGTAATTGTTGAGTGATTGCCCTTTGCATTTTTTCAACTTAATGTGTGTCAAGAGCATAACTATAAAAGCATTTGAGATATCAATATGAAACTTCATAGGTGGATAGATCTCACTCAGGAAATGTGCAGTGCATAAGAATGATAACTCTACCCTTCATATTTTTTTAGTTATTGCCCTTTGTTATTTTTCATACTTTATTTTTCACCTGAGTGGAGCATAATTCAAAAAGTCTTTGAGATGTCAACATGAAACTTCATAGGTGGATATATCTAATTGAGGAGGAGTGCAGCACACACGAATGATAACTTTACCGTACATATTTTTTCCTTTATTGCCCTTTGTTATTTTTATACTTAATTTTTGTCCGTAAGACAGCGCGCTCGACTTTTTTATTGCTTGCCAATAAAAAAAGTTTTTGCAGTAAAAGGCAATACAAGAATCTCTGTATTTTTAAAGTGAACAATGGCCATGAGCATTAAGATATTTAGTGAAGAATTATTTTACTGAATTGTGTGATACCCTTGAACACTGCAGCAAAGTTTGAAATGTTTAAGTCAAAAGAGGGCTGGTAAGAAAGAAAAAAAAACTGAGTTGAGCCTTAAATAAATTTAATAGTATTATACTACTGATTTTAATTTCAAGTACAAAAAGAGAAAAATAACTAGTTGTTTGATACCCTTGAATATTACAGCAATGTTTATATGACATAATTTATGGTAAAGTGAACAAGTGGATAGGAATGAATTTTTTTAGATTTTTTTAAGTTTTTTAGTGCTTGCCTATAATACAAAACATTGACAGTTAAGGGCCATAATTCAAATAAAATCTTTGACAGAATTACCTTCTCCTGGACATGTTTGGGAATCATGATTGTAAACAAGTATTCCAACTTTCAAATTAATATCTCAAACAGTTCAGTCAAAAAGTGGACTGGTACTAAAAACTTAACCAAGATTCTAAGTCGATAAAAGGCCTTAATTTTTTAAAACAAATCCTTGACAGAGTTACCTTCTCTTGCGTACAGATGGGGGTAATGATGTGAAATAGCATTAAAAGTTTCAAAGCAATATCTCAAAGGGTTAAGGCAATAAGTGGATTTTACCCATATTCAATGTATTTTCTAAGTCAAAAAGGGGCATAATTCTGTCAAAAACCTTGACAGAGTTATGTCCTCTTGTCTGTTGATGAAGGTCGTGATGGTAAACAAGTATGGTCAGTTTTCAAAGCAATACCTCCAATGGTTTTGAAATAAAGTGAGGTGGTACAAAAAACTTAACCAAGCTCAATACACTTTCTAAGTCAAAAAAGGGCCATAATTCTGTCAAAAACCTTGACAGAGTTATGTACTCTTGTCTGTAGATGGAGGTTATGATGGTGAACAAGTATGGTAAGTTTCAAAGCCATACTTGTAATACTTCTGAAATAAAGTGGGGT